TTTCCTCGAGACTTAACATTGGTTTATATATCTAACAGTTTCCGAAGCGCATTGTCTAATCGTCGTTCATGGATTTCTCACCTCCGCTTGAAACCTCTCTTTACCTCACGTGGCATTCGGTTTTGGTGTCTCAGTTTCTTCGCTTTGCGCGCGAGACGCTTTCAGACGCGACAAATCCGCATTCGAATTCTCTCTCTCTCTCTCTCTATCTCTCTCACTCTCTCCTTCTCTATTTCTCCTCTTCTCTCTGGGGATGGTATTTGAACTCTCTTCTTAGATGCTTTCTCGTACATGTCAATGTTCTCGTTCTTCACATTTATACTCAACACATATCGATGCTAACCAAACTAGACTTAAGAGCTTCTATCTTGAAAAATAAGGAATGTCGGATAAATTTTGAAATTTCCTTTTTTAAATACTTTTAAGACGGGGATTTACTTTAAAGTCAGATAGGAAGACAGTATAGTCAAGGACAATTTTAGTCAGGCAAAATAGACGAGAAATGAAAATTTTTTGTTTCGCAGTAGAAAGAGAAAAATTTAGTCGGACAAAATAGGCGAGAAATGAAAATGTCTGTATTGCAGTGTGTAAAAAGAAAAATTTAGTCGGAGAAAATAGATGAAAAATGAAAATTTTTTTATCGCAGTAGTAAAAGAAAAAAGTTAAACAAAATATGAATGGAACAAAGTAAAACGTGAGGTTTTAAAATAACACCAGAATGGATTAAAATAATCCGCAACAGTTGAATCCCTCTAGGATTAAATTAACACCGGAAAGGATTAAAATAATCTACTCTCTAAATCTGAATTAGTGCGGATTCGTTTACCAATTTGAATTACACTGCAAGCCCGATCAGCGGTCAGCTCCGGGGGTGCTCTACCGCTGATCGGGCGTAAACATATAGGACCGTACGAACTGTTTTATGATGGGTTACCATTACTTGACTACTGAATTTTTTTTTAAGGGGCCAGAGCGTCTTTAATGTATACGCTACTGCCACAACTTTTCGACTCCCTCTTTGCCCCTCGCCCGCCCCATCTACAAACGACGTAAACAAGTGACCACTGATCGGGTGACCGCTGATCGGGCTTGCAGTGTAGTAACATTTTTTTACTAATTTTTAGTAGTTTTTTATTAATTGCTAGTAGAAAATTACTAATTCAATTAGTAGAACGTATTTTTCACTGTTTCAAATTAGTAAATTTTCTACTAATAATTAGTAAAAAACTACTAAAAATTAGTAAAAACAGTTACTAATTCAATTGGTAAACGAATCCGCACTATTTTATTAGTAGAAAACTACTAATTCAGATTTAGAGAGTATTTTGGTGTTATTTTTAACTATGAATGAAATTTTACTTTAATTAAAACGCCAAAGCCAACGATTTGTAAAAAATCAACGAATTTAGCTTCTCCAGGGAGAATAGTAAGTTAGTAAGTTAGTTACTGACTTAGTTACTAACTTGGTAACTAACTTAGCAACATAGTTACTAAATTCAATTGTGTTCAAAAATTTTTTAAAATTCTCGTCAAAATTTGAATTCTCTTTATAAATAATGAAATTCTTCTCTGATGTTCAATTATTTTACAAAATTTTAATCAAATTCTTGTCAAATTTTCAATTATTTTCAAAAGTTATCTAAAATTCAATGATTTTCAATATCTACTGTTTCAATAAAATTTTCCAAAAGAATTCCATTATTAGAAAAAAATTTGAATAAAATTCTACGCAAACATTCAATTATTTTCTTAAATATTAAAATTTTTTACAGGAATTCAATTATTTACATATTTTTTTTTAAATTTCTTCACAATAATTCAATTATTTTCATAAATAATAACATTTTTACAGGGATTCAATTATTTTTATAAATAATAAAATTCTTTTAGGAATTCAATTATTTTCATAAATAATAAAACTCATTGCAGAATTTCAATTATTTTTAATGCAATTTTAATCGAATTCCTCGAAAAATGTAATTATTCTTAAAAACTTTATTAAAATTCGTCCAAAGAATTTAATGATTTAAAAAATTTGTTGATAACATTTTTTATGAGAATTTAATTTCAAGAAACATGAAATTAATAAATTATTTATTTTTGTATTTAAATAATTGAATTCTCGTAGAATTGACTAATAAAAATGGTTTTAAAAATGAATTTCAGTTAAAATTTTAGATTATAATTAAATATTACAAGCATTATAACGTGGATTTTTAGAAATAATTAAATTTTGAAAAAGTTTCAAATTAAAATCATTGAAATTCTTAATTTTTCATATTTTTGACAAACAATTCTATAGAATTAATTCTTTTTAAAAGTTTAATAAGATTTTTATTAAAATTATTTCAAGCTTTTATTTTTCAATATATATTTAATTGCAGAATTTCCGAATAATTGAAATTTTCGTAAAATTGAATTGTAAACGAATGAATTTTAAAATTCTCAAAGAACTTTTTTAAAAATTATTAAAAATAATGTATTTATTGAAGAATTTTAGTTAAAAACACTAGAAAAAAATTTAATTTTAAAGAAGTTAGAAATTATTGCAGAAATTCAATTATTTTCAAGAGTAATAAAATTCTTCTTAAGGATTCAATTATTTTTACTAATAATAAAACTGATCGCAGCGTTTCAATTGTTTTTTATACAATTATAATTGAATTCCTTGCAAAAGGTAATTATGTTCATGCAATTTTTAATAAAATTCGACAAAAAAATTGAATTGTTGAAAAATTTGTTAATAAAATTCTTTATCAGAATTGAATTTTGAGAAAAATTCAATTATTCAATAAATTATTTACTTTTGAATTTAAATAATTAAATTCTTGTAGAATTTTCTAATAAAAGTTGATTTTCATTTCATAGAAATGAATTTCAGTTAAAATTTTAGATTATAATTGAATATTAAAAGCAATATAGCGTGAATCTTTAGAAATAATTGAATTTTGAATTTAAATTTTTTGAAAAAGTTCAATTGAATTTTCTTTTATATTATTTGAAGTTTTTATTTCGTTAAATTGAATATTGTAAAAAATGGATTTAAAAATTGCCAAAGAACTTTTTCGAAAATTATTAAAAATAATTGATATAAAGTAGAATTGTAGTTAAAAATTATTGAAAATAATAATTGAATTGAAATAATGAAAATAATTTTGAAAAAGTATAATATTCTTATATAGTATAAAATAATGATTTTATTACTTGGTCATCTTCAATTATTATAAAATATGAAGAAATCGATGACTCCGAGTCGAAGACTCGGAGTTATCGATATCTTCATGTTTTATAGTTATAAAAAAATGTAATGAACTAAAATTTCATTCATTGTAAAAAATAACACCAAAATTGATTACTTTAAACATTTCTGGTGTTAATTTAGTTTGCAACACTTTTTAATACCTCACGATTTACTGTGAAATTATTATATCAGTAGGAAAAGAATAAGGTTAAGTAAGAACATTTTAATATAAAGGTAGTTTTTTTCAATACTTGAAAACGAGTAGGAAAATAAATTAATGGTATAAAATAAAAAACAGTATTTTTTAAATTGTGCCCAAGGAGTATAAGTCACTTTAGGTCAGACAATCTTTTATTAACGAAGTATAGTAAAAATAAGTGTATTAACAAGACAATTTAATCCATTTTTTAAATTTCTTTTTCAGTATATAACTGAAACTTCTTTTTCAGTTTTTGTCAGTCAAAATCCGTAAAATCATAACAATTTTGAACTAGTAGTATGGATCAGTTTTAGTGAGACAATCCTTTTTTTCAGTAGTAGCAGAGTTTTTACTGCAGAATTATTTATTTATTTTCCATAATCTAAAGTTTAAGTAGTAAAATAAATTTGCAGTCAGACATTACGAGCAGTTTGCTTAATTTAATAATTCGTCTCTCAGTAGTATAAAGTGGTTTTAGTCAGACATTACATATTTTTTATTTTCAATTTTAATAAACTGAAGGAGTAAGTTTCAATGAGACGAAATTTTTCTAGAGGTAAAAAGCAGACAATAAAAAGCAGTAAACACCAATGCATCAATTATTACCTTTTCAGTAGTAAATACAGGTTCTAGCCAGACAATTTTTTTATCTCTTGATAATTTCAATATTTAATTTTACATTCATAGTTAATTAAATTATTTTAATACTAAAAGTAGCTGTGATAGTATTAGTTATTTTTCCGTTTGCGCGCTTAACAGCAATAAATTTATCATTCCCCCCTCCAATCACATGTGATTAAAGATTCAGTAGTAAAATCAAACTCTAGTCAGACAATTAATTGGAATTTTTTCGTAAATGCAGTAGATATAATATTATCTTCAAGTTAATGCAATTATTTTAAGTAGTAAAAGCAAATCTTAATAACACAGTATTGTTTACTTATTATTGACGAAAATTAAGTAAAATTTATTTTAATGAAAATCGACAAAATTTTCTTCAATTGTTTCAATTATTTTTTTTTAGAATTTTTCAATAAAATTTTTCAAAATTTTTAAAGAAAAATAATGTAATTAATAATTTTTTAAAACAAAAATTTTTGCATCCCCTAAATTTTCAAAGAATTTAATTTAAAAATCTTTTAAAATTTAATTAATTTCTAAAATTCATGTTATGACGCTTTAAATACAAAGAGAAAAAAGAATTGTTAATATAGATCTGACAAATTTCGTTTGTTGTTGTTACAAAATTTTTTGTTACCTCAACAGATTTATTGTTATTAGAAAAAATTTGAATTGTTAGGACAACAAAATAAATTTGTTAGTTCTATATTAACAATCTTTTTGTCAACGTAACAATCCTTCTTCTCCGCGTATTCAATTATTTTCTAAAATTTTAACTGTCACTTTTTTTACATTAATTCCCATCAGAATTCAACTACGAGAATTGAATTATTTAAATAGAATAATTTATGTAAATTCATAAAATAATGTATTTTCAAAAATACAATTATATTTATATAGATAATTTTTAAAGATGAAAAAATAAATAAAATCGCAAAATTTCGAGTATTTAACTTTTATTACTAAAATGACTTTTTTTAATTGTTACAATAATATTAACAGTCATTTTTATTTTTGGCACATTGGAAAACTAGTAAATAAATACATACACACATTCACTTATAAAAAAGTTTTGTAGACAATAAATAAATAATTTACACATACGCACATAAATAACTACAAACTAACAAATTAAAATTCTCAATTTCTTCATTTTTTTAAAAAATATTTAGAGCAAAAATTTAAATGACAAAAATTTTTTATATTCGTCTTTTTTTAGGAAAAAGGGAGGTTTTTCTTGAAATAACCAATTCAGTAGTCGACGTAAAGAATGGTATTTAAAAAAAACGTTCTTTTCTCCAAAAATAAAACGAGAATAACAATAAATTTTTGTTCATTTAGATTTTTAAAAATATTTTCCCAAATTGAGAGACTTTTGAAATAGGTAATTTCATTTTAAAAAAATTGATTTTCAATTTTCAATCTATACAATAATTGAAATAGGTAATTTCGCAAAATTTTTTCCAAAATTTGATAAAAATTCTTTTAAATAATTTTTGAGGGGATTATGGGAAAATATTTAAAAGAAATTTATCAAATAAAGGATCTAATTTTTTTTTGTCACCTATGAATATTGTATTAGATGTAAAGCTAATTTTCGTCCTCTTCCATTGAACAGGACCCATGGTTGTCGAGTGCCAGATACATAGCGGGCATCACTGCAAAAATGAAAATAAAAATAAAAAAATTAAATAAAAAATATCCAAAAAAGGTTTTTTTGGAAATTTAATTATCAATTAATTATAAATTATAAATTATTAATTAATGGAAATAAAGATCACAATCCAAATTCAAAAGTAGAAAAAAATATTAAAGACCTTTTTGAATAAAGTTACTGGAAAATATTTATGTCAATTTTTTATGCATAAAATAAGAAAATCGAAGCAAAAAAGTATTTTAAATATTTAAGAGAATGAAATGAAATAAAAAATTAAATATTTGACATACTTTTGATAGTAATTATAGTTGATGCCACCGGCATCGTTTCTAAAAGTTTCGTCAAAATCAGCTAAACTATAATTCAAATAGTAACCATTCATATCGAATTCGCAGTACTCGCGCCAAATATTACGGAGCCAGTTATTGAATAAATGTAATGTACTGCATTTTTCGAAATCAATTCGAAAACTCAAATTTGCCAACGGTGGAATTGTGCACAGTGTGATTGAGGTTCGCGGTATATTAAACTTAATTTCAATAAGATTTAAAAGCTCTCTATAATCGGCTCGCATCTGCTCCAAAGTTCTTCCCTAAAAAACAAAAACAATTCCAACTAATTAATTACAACTGACATCAAATTTATCAATTTCTTATTTATTGACTAAATTAATTTATAATTTATTATAATTAATAATATATAATAATTTAAAATTAATTTGTATTTCATTTATTTATCGTAACATTCATGTAATATCTTTAAATAATAATTATTATACTATATTAATAATAAAAATCTTCAATAATAATAATTTAATATTATGACTTAATAAAATAATTATTAAAATTATTAATTTGAATTTTTAATTAATTTTTGAATTTAAAATTATTAAGTCAATATAATTCATTATATTTCTTCAAAAATAATATTCTCGAGTAATAATAATAACTTTTCATATTATTTAATTACATAATTATTAAAATAACATAATTATTATTGAACTTGATTATTAATTATTACTTGAGAAAGAATTTCACTTGGAACAGCGATAAATTTCTCTATAGTAACGAAAGTATTAACTGACACAATAAAAATTTCTCTAAATGTAGTGTAATTTATATCTGTTCCAAGTGAAGATATTTTTGTGATAAAATAATATTTTTTTGTAAAATATTTTTTACTGTAAATTTTTATTTGTAATATTTTTAATCGTAAAAATTAAAATAATTGATTTAAATTATTATTTCAAGTACTATTTTAATAAATTTTAATTATTTTAACAAATTTTAATAAATTTTAGTTATTTTAATAAATTTTAATTAATTTAATTAATTTAATCAATTATTGAAAAAATAAAACCTTGTTTAAAATTGTTTACAATATACGTACTTGGTATATGTCAACGGCACCTAACATTATAGTTATTCTATCTGAAATAGCATTCATTGTATCCAATTTTCTAATGCATTGACGAATCGTTTGACCTGAGACACACAATCCAGTATATAAGGCAGATTTTTCTGAAAATAAATAAATAAATAAATAAATAATGAATAAATATTAAATAAATAATAAATAAAAAAATCATATAAGAAAAAGTTACGCGAAACATGAATTTTAAATAAAAAATGTCCATCCTCTGAAATTAAAATTCAATAAAATATGAAAAATAGAAAAATTTTGCCTAAAAAAAATTATAATGTCCAAAATTATTCTTTTACCAGCTTTTCGCCAGATCGGAACTTTTAGTTCCTTAATTGCCAATTGAAGGAGAAAGTCATCACCAATTAGTTGCTTTCTATTGAAAATCGGCTCATAGACGTAATTCTGTACATAAAAAAAAGAAAAATTTAATTTTACAATTTTAATTGAATTCAAGGTGGAAAAGTTGTGAGAGAAGTAAAAATAAAAGTAAGAATATTACAAATGATCAAAATTGATAAAGAGTAAAAAATAATTGTATTCTTACTGTAAAATAAATAAAATAATTGAGAAATAATTTATTGATATTAAATATTATCTAAATATTAATATTAAATTTTTTAATTTATTAAAATTTTTTGAGAGATAAATAAAAAGATTGGAATTAAAAAAAAAATTTACATTTCTCCTCCTGGTGTCTATGTTAATCATTGGTCTATCGTAATCATCAGACATAGAAGTGGATGCGCTTTTATATCCAGAAGAAACTGTAAAAAATATTTTCATTAATTAAAAAAATTAGTAATAAACAAATTAAATTAATTAAATATTAAATATTTATTTTTTATATTTATAAAATAAATTGTTGAACAAAATACATAAACAATTTAAATTAGATTAATATTTATTATAATAACTAATAGTTAATCATTATTAGTTATTAATAATTAACAAGCATTTAATAAATAAATAATAAATTATTCTTGTCAACACTAAAAAATACATCTTTTTAACTTAAAATACAAATAAATAAATTTAATACATAAATAATTCTAATTAATCCATGCAAATAAATAACAAATAATTCGGTCTATAAATAAATAACGTAACTAACTCAATTTTTTTCAAATTTTCAATAAAAAAATATAATCAATTTTCTAAATTTGTAAATTTTAATGTTATTTATTAGTTTAATTATTCGTTACTGATTATTTTTTGAAATTGAAATTGAATCGAAAATTTTGTTATTTTTTTATTTAAATTTAAATATTTAAATTAATTGAAATTGAATTGAAAATTTTGTTGTTTTTTAATTAAAATTTAAATATTAAAATAAAGTTAGTTAAAATTGAATTGAAAATTTTGTTATTTTTTAATTCTTAAATTTAAATATTAAAATTAAATTAATTGAAATTGAATTGGAAATTTTGTTATTTTTATATTTAAGTTTAAATTTTAAAATTAAATTAATTGTAATGAATATACATACTTGATGGAGAATATTGTTGATGCTGTTGACAATCAAAACTATTATTGTTGACATCATAATCCAAATGCCTCTTGTTATGGACTTTTCTTTGTCTTCGACTACGTTTCTTATTCGTCTGAAAATTGAAATAATAAAAATATGCATGTTTTCAAACTTTTTGATTATTTATTTTTAGTCGAATTATGATAAAAAAATTTAATTAATAACTAATTATTACCCTTGCTGGTTTTTGATTTTTTATTAATTCATTCAAATGATTGACTTTTGGATCATTTACGGTTAAAAAAATATCTCCGTTATAATTTTTTCTGTATCTAATTTCTTTCACATCTTGAAGATAATCGAAGAGAGTATTGTATCCTAATTTTAAATATGGAATGTAACGTCCTTCTATTTCTTCAAATTCGCCTATAATAATAATTATTATTATTTATTATTATTTATTATTATTATTTTTTATTATTTTTATTATTATTATTATTTTTATTATTTTTATTATTATTTATTATTATTATTTTTATTATTTTTATTATTTTTATTATTTTCATTGTTATTATTATTTTTATTATTAAAGTTATAATTGTTGTTATTATTTTATATTATTGTTTAAAGTTCTATTATTTTTTATTTGTTAAAAAAGCGACTTTAAATTGATAGTAAATATAGTAATCAATTTAAAAAATTTATAAATCTTTCTACAATTGCAATAGAAAAAAATTGTCAAGATAAACGATTTTTTTTACTAACAATTTATAAAATAAAAATATAAATTCCAAAAATGGAGATTTTTGAATTTTATATTGAATTTTTAACTGAATAATATGTAAAAGAAAAGTTCTTCTTAATATTTCAATAAACTATGTTTAAATAAATTTTTTCTTCACTAAATAAATATTTTGAATAAATAATAATTGAAAAAAACTGAATAAAAAACAAAATGAAAGAAAATAAGTGAAAATAAGAAAATTTTTTTTCAAAATAAAAAGTAAACATAGAAAAATAGAAAATAAATAAATTGTGAAAAAAAAATCGAAAACTTACTATCCAATTCTTCGACAGGCATTCCACCTTTTCTAGCAACAATAAGTGCCTTGACTACGTTGGTTACTTCAACATAATCCATTTTGCTTGTACAGAGATATCTACTCCAGACAAGAAATAAAATGAAACTGAGAAAATTTTCTCTAAATTAAGACCTTTATAATATCATTCAAAAGAAATATTTCTCTTTTATTAAAATTTTGAATACTCCTAAATAATACAATTTCGAATGATTCATTTCTATTTTCCAAATATTTGAATTGCTTTTCATTCTTATCGCGATGATATAATTTAATGAAAATGTCTTACGTAATTAACAATAAAATTCGTAGATATAAAATAAATATCAGTAACAAAAAATTTAACAAAACTTTTATTATGAAAAAAAAATTTTAAATGAAATGTAAAAATAATTTTATTATAAAAAATGAATTTTAAGGGCATTTGAACCATTATGACGTCACAATTTGTGCAAAGCATGTGTTCTTAAATTATGACGTCATAATGGTTCAAATACCCTTAAATTAAATTTTAAATTTTTTAATTAAATTTAAATAATTAATGTTTTTTACTAAACTAATTTAAGTTTATTTAAACAAATATATCAAAATCGTTGTAAATTTTGTTGCAAAAAAAATGTTAATTACTTTTTATTACTTTTTTTTTAATTTCAGAAAAAAAATGTAAAAAATATTTTAAAGTGCATTAATTTACATGTTTACAGCGCCTTGAGGTATGATTATCTTTGCCCAGTTCTCCGCAGCGGCGTTCTCCGGTAACATATTCCTAGGCGTAATAATGATAAAAGCTAACAGCAGAAAAAAAATTTTTATTTACAAACTTTTACTTTTTTTATAACAAAATTATTCATTTTTTATTATTTTTTTCTTTTGACAATAAAAGTCCATGTATTGTACAATCAAAATAAGTGGCTGTTAACATTAATTAATCTTAATTATAACGATTATTAATTTAATTATTAAGATTTTATTAATTATTTTCCATCATTTACTATTATTTAGAAATATTATTTATTTTAATTACTATTTTTATTATTATTATGATTATTATTATTATTATTGTTATTATTAATGATATGATTATTATTATTACTAGCAAGAATTCGCGCGCTAAAGCGCGCGGCTGACTTTTTAATTCATTTTTTAAATAAAATTATCAATTTTAAAGATTACAGAATTTAAAAATATTAAATTCAAATTTTTGTTGAAAACACTAAAATAATTCAATTTTAGAGAAATTGCAAATAATTTATTGCAGGAATTCAATTATTTTCAAAAGTAATAAAATTCTTCTCATAAAATTCAATTATGTTTAAAATTAAAAAAAAATTCTCGTTAAAATCCCAATTATTTTTTTAAATAACAAAATTTTTCCCCAAAGTTCAATTATTTTCAAAAATGACAATAAAATTCTTGTCCTAATTTCAATTATTTTCAATATCTACATATTTTAATAAAATTTTGGGAGAAAAATTCAATTATTTAAAAAAAATTTAATAAAATCGTACACAAACATTTAATTATTGGCAAAAATAATAAAAATTCCACAGGAATTTAATTATTTACAATTTTTTATAAATTTCTTCGCAATAGTTCAATTATTTTCATAAATTTTTAATTATTATAAATTATTATAAAACATAAAGAAATCGATCACTAAAGAAATTCAATCAATTTCTTCATGTATTATAGCAAAATACTTTTATAAGTTGTTTAATTTCAAAAAGATTTGAATTTGGAATTTTTGAATGTCTTAATTCCTGTGGAAAAATAATAGTAATTAAATATTTATTTAAAAAAGAAATTATTGATGTTTTTGAATAATTTTACAATTATTAATGAAATTCGTATAAATATAACGGAACATTCTTTTTTTGAATAAAATTTTTTCCTTTATTTTCTAAAAATTCAAAAATTTTCATTTTCAATAAAAATTTGTAATTGACAAGTAAAATTTATAAACAATTGTTTCGTTTATTTTTAAAAAAAAACTTTGAATTTTATTAGAACAATAAATTGTAATTAAAAAATTGAAATAATGTAAATTATTCCCTTATGAAAAATGAAAATTTTCTACAAAAATCATATTATTTTTCTAAATAATAGAATTCTTTAAAGGAATTATATTATTATCACATTTTTTGATAAAATTCTTTGCAACAATTTGATGATTTTCATTACATTAATTTTAAAATTGAAAATATTTGAAAAGAAGAATTATAAATTAATAATAACAATAATAACAATAATAACAACAATTAGCAAACAACAACTAAGTTCAAATTGCGGACAGATTACCGGAACATGTACTTTATTATTATTAATTAATGTTATAATTATTTTTATTTTAATTATAAGATAAAAATAATTATATCCTTCATTAATTAAAAATTGTAATGCCAAATAGAAATTATCAGAATTTTTTTCACTTCCTTTCATTAAAATACTAAAATTTTGTTAAATTTTATGTTTTATCAAATTTAAATTATGCAGATTTTTGTTCTTTACATCTAAACAAAATTAGAAAATTGTTAAACAATTATGTTTAAGAAATAGAAAATTTATTTATTTTGCAATATTTTTCTTTATAAATCACAATTTTTTAAATAAAAAATTATTATTTTGTTTTAGAAAAATAAGGAAAATATTTGTACAATTTCTATTTTTAATCTTATTTTTGGAACAGGATTTTCAACAGGAATTAAGACAATCAAAAATTTTAAATTCAAACCTTTTTTAAATTAAACAATTTATAAAAGTATTGTTATAAAACATGAAGATATTAATCACTCCGAGTCGAAGACTCGAAGTGATCGATTTCTTCATGTTTTCTAATAATTAAAGATGACCAAGTAATAAAATCATTATTTTATATTATAAAAATATTTTTACTCTAACTTCATCAAAATTATTTACATTATTTTAATTCAATTATTATTTTCTAGAATTTAAAATTATTTTTTATGAAAATAATTGAATTTCTGTGAAATTTTTATTATTTATGAAAATAATTAAATGTTTGCATCCAATTTTATTACATTTTTTTTTCTAAATAATTGAATTTTTTTTGGAAAATTTTATTAAAATAGTAGATATTGAAAATCGTTGAAATTAGAGAAAAATGCATTTTATTTTTGAAACTAATTGAAATTAGGACAAGAATTTTTTTTTGCATTTATGAAAATAATTGAACTTTGGAGAAGAATTTTGTTATTTATTAAGATAATTGGGATTTTGACGAGAATTTTTTTCAAATTTTAAACATAGTTGAGTTTTATAAGAATTCTAATTTTTTTTTGAAAATAATTGAATTTCTGCAATTATTTGTAATTTCTTCAAAATTGAATTTTTTTTAGTGTTTTCAACAAAAATTTAATTTAAATTAGAAAATTTTTAAATTCTATTATTTTTCAAATTGCTATTTTATTTAAAGAAAGGCAGTAAGAAGTTAGCCGCGCGCTTTAGCGCTTTAGTTGCTAGTTATTATTATTTTTTAAAATTATTTTTATTATTTTTGTTATTATTTTACATTATTTTTTAAAATTAATAATTTATTTGTTAAAAGTAACATTGAATTTTGAGTATCGAAGTTCGCCTTTTTATAATGTTGAGTAAAAAAATTTTCGATCGTTTGTGCTTTATTTTAAAAATTTATTTATTTCATTATAAATAATTAATTAAATCTTTTTTTCAGATATTCCAGAGAAAATTAAGAAAATAACAGATCAAAAACTTGAAATTAACATTTTAAACGTTTTGTGTATAATTTGTTTTTAATAAAATTATTCAATTTTAAGAAACAATGAGAAAAAAAAGTAAAAAAAAATTGAGAACGTAGCGAAATAATTGTCGAGAGATAAAAATACTTATAATTTTTTTTTAATTCGCGCAGGTTCATTCATTTTTTTTTTTTAGGAAAAAAAATTTAATGTAAATAATAAAAAGTTTGTGTAGAAGAGAGGGAGGGAGGGAGAGAGAGAGAGACGGAGAGAAAGAGAGCTAGAAGTTTAAAATATAAATAAGTATCTATAAAGAAAAGTTGGATGGAAAATTAAAAGAGGATCTGACAACCTGGTTACGTCGGATTTAGTTCTTGTGACGACTAAGTTTCGGACGTTGAGCTTAAGTCGGCCGCAATGCCGCTCTCCTCCATCCGACTAAGTTACACGAAGACTCGTTGCTACATGGACTTAAAAACTTTAAAGCAACGCTCTTAACATCAATAGCCTATTCTTCCCCTTGGGGGGGCTCTATATAGAGAGAGAAACTTACGGATCGTCGGCTTTCTCAAAATTTATAAGTCATTTTCTCTCGAATAATGCGAATTGAAAAGTGAATAAAATATTTTCTCCACATAATGAATTTATTATTCTCTTCTCATTTTTTTTCCTTCATAAAGAGAAAATATTTCCAAATAGTTTTTTTTCTTCAAATATTTTTCAAATAAGATTTATTTATTTTTATTCTATTTTTTTTAATTATTCAATTATTTATTTATTAATTTATAATTTATTGATTTACTTGTTCATTTTTTTATTCACTTTTTTTTTATCAACATATTTATTTATCTACTTATTTCTACATTTATTCACTTATTTATTTATGAATTGACTTTAGTTTTACAAGCACTTTTTATTTATTAAAAAATTATTAAATAACTTCTTTTATTAAATTAATTTTATTATTATATTAAATTTATTATTTACTGCAAACAAAAATTTTGTTTGTTTATAACGTTTCATACTATTAAATTTTTTTTTTAAATTTTTACAATAAAAATTGTGTAGTATTTATAAAGAAAAAGGTTTTAGTAAAACTTGGCCATTTAAAAAAACTAAATTCGAGTTTCAGAAAAAAATAATAGATGCAGAGGAAAAAGCGGAATAATTCAATAAAAGCATAAAAATTGGTCCAATTAATAAAAAAATGACAACATTTTAAAAAAAACCGTTTTCTTTTGTATTTTTCGTAAAAAAAATTAAGAAAAAAAAATTCTCTCCAGCGGGGAATCGAACCCCGGTCTCCCGCGTGACAGGCGGGGATACTGACCACTATACTACTGAAGATGGAATTTTTTGGGGCTTCATTTAAAAACGGCGTATGCTTTAATTATGTTATATTTAAAAGCACGTGTTCA